GGGAGTGTGGTCCTTCGAGGACCATACTAAACGAATGATGTTTGCTTATACCGGACGGTGCTTATTGATCTAGGCCAGTCGGTTGGAAAACCCAAAGTACCTGGGCATAAAGAATTAACCGATGAGGGTTTTGGGTTAACCCTTGATGAGGTCGGAGCTTATGCTTAGATGAGTGAGCCGAGGGATTGTGTGACCATTGTGTGTGATGGTAGGCCTACTGAGACGGGGGCCAAAACCTCATCCATGTTCCATCACACAGCATGCATATCGATAGATCATTCGGGAAAGCCAGATATCCACCTTTGGGTGAAGCATATGCATGTACGAGAGATACCCTTATGCACCATAGAGCTGTAGTTGCATCAGGTCGTGGTGACCTTGACTCGTCTCTAGGCGATGACCTATAATCCACATACTAGGATTGCGACCCTTTGATTCATCGACGTGACTTTGGTGACCTGCTAATGAGCCCTTGCTTGGACCGTGGGTTATGAGAAACACTGGGTCGGTTCGATAAAGCTTGTGTGGTCTGTAGTCCGCAATTGGAGGTGGAGTACTCCATATTTACAGATTAAATTCCTAAACCATATAGATCCTTTTCCCATCATATTACTTAATTGTGTTCATTTTATTATTGAAATGATTTTAGTTTTATTATTTGAATTTTTATAAATCTCTCAATATTTTAATTATGATTTTTGGGCTTATAAAAATACAGTTATAGATTTTACAAAGTTTTAAAAGTTCATATATATATATATATATACATTAATTCGTTTTATTTTAAAACTTTTTATAAAATTCCATGGGGGCCCAAAATGCACATGGGCCCACCATGTGGCATGTGGGTGGGGGCCCACATGTGCCACATGGTGGCACGCCCCATCCTTTGGATTCTTTGTTTGCTTTATGTTTAAGTCTTTAAGTTAAGGTAAGTTTGATTTGTGGCATGTAGTCAAATCTTGGAATGGAAATATTGACCATAGCTTTATTTGTCTTATAGTAAGTTTGTTTTAAAGGGATATGGTCAATT